CCGATATTAAGGGCTAAAGTAGAAGACAAATGTTTTGAGAATGATGAGGGCAACAAATGTGCATATGTGCTTTACACAATGGATGGATGTATGGATTGTGATAAGAATTGTACAGGCCCCCAATAAAATGATTCAAAAAAAAGATCTCGTTGCCATTGACTTGATGCTGACTCACTCGTAGCTGCCGCTCTGTTATGCTGATAGATCAGCGTGACCCTCACCTGGAGCTCAGGGCCTCCAGTCTAGTGAAGAAGACTGGAGAAAGGTGGGTTCAGGTCTTGTTTGATTTGGGGGTGAAAATGTAGCTACCATCAGGATGTACAAAGAGACATGGGAAATCGCTTAGATGGGTCAACTTTGTGGCCCCTCAATGGCAAACAGAGGAGGAGAGCTCTCTGTCTTGTTTCATTGTCTGAAGACTGGTATGGTGCAGACACACAATAGACTAAGCCCCTGAGTGTCACTCACACCGATTTGTGGGTCTGCCAGGCACCAGGCTAGGTGCTGGGGACGCAGGGTGAACCAGCCAGGGGGGTGAGCCCATGTTCTCAGGGGTGTACCTGTTCTGAGGAACTTGCCTGATAATGAGGCATGGGAGAAATACGCCACATGCTCAGACTTCAGAATCAAAGACGTAAGCCCTGTCCATGAAGCATAATCAAGAGGTAGGAGCTGTTTTACTTTTTATTCTAGAGCTGGTGGCACGTGAGTTGATGGATGGAAGCTTAATGAGAATCTGTCAGCGCTCCCTTCAAAGCATCAAATGCATAGAAGGCGGCAGGCATGTGTGGGTCAGCTGACTGAAGACTGATCCCAGAGTCCGCACATTCAGACTAGGCATGACTGTTTTCAGATCTCCGACAAAGATCATTTGGAAGTGTGACGAGGAGCAAGAGTGTAAATAAAAATGCATTGATTTTAAAGGAAAGAAGTACTTTTCCTACTAGCCAGTATGATGTTTTTTAGCAGTGTATCCTTTGACCCTCATAAAGCACAGCAGAAAAATACTGCCCTTCACAGCTGAGTAAATCCTTCTGGAGATGGACTTGGTCTTAGGAAGCAGGGTTTACAAACTAAAATCTGACTTGCGCTCCTGTGTTCTCTGGAGCATTTTATGTGTACCCTCTCCTTTTCAGTGCTGCCCTGCATTTTCATTCCCAGATAATCTTCCTTGTGGTTCTCTTGTGTCAATGAGGCAGCAGGCCTCGTTCCCAAGTGACTCTCTCACCTATGGATGTTTATTGTGTTGTGCACATAGGTACATGGGCCTTACACTCAGGAGTTAGGAATTTAAGATCCAGGTAAAAAAACCTTTCAAACCTAATACACCAAAACAACCCCAAAGTAACTATGGCTGTGCCCTTGCTTGTTCAGATCACAGCTAACCTGGAAGAAGCTCACCGCTGGTTCAAGTGCCGATTTGACGGGCTACAGCTTGAGCTGACAAAAAACCGGTTGCAGAGGCTTCCCCGAGAAGACAGGTGGCAGGAAGAGGTGAGCAGCTTACACTTGGATATATTTTCTTTTATTACCCTTAGCTAGCTTAACCATTTTAGGTCTTTTTATTTTCCCCCTAGAATTTCAAATTAGAAGTTTCTCTCCAGCTACCCTGGCCACTCATCTTTAGCTTTGTTTCAACTTGGCAAGAAACCAATGCACTAAATGTCTACAGTGGCCCACCTCCCAGATAAGCCCACCCATCTTGATGGCTGGATGGCGTGAGATGCAAAGGGTTCCCTCCTGCCTGTGCTAAGTGCTCTCTCTCCAATAGGATGAGGACGTAAGGCACCACGCCATGCCCAACCAGTCTGCTCTCCATCGCTGGGAGACGAAACAGAATCTCCGGATCCTGTCTAAGAAGTGCCATTCTGACAGTGAGCGGAAGTGATGGCCCTCACGGAGGAGCAGCTCCGTTTCCAGCTCCGCCTCCAGGAGGCCACGAGCCCAACAGGGAGGGCTGGCCTGGGGCCACAGTCAGCGCCATGTGAAGCCTGGATACGGGCTGAGGATTGTGGACCCGAGTTGTTCTTTTATGAACTCCTATCAGAGCAGAACCACTCCGTCTTTTTTGTCCCTTTCCCCCTTTCCCACTCAATAAATTTATATTGTTGTATGGTAAGGCATACTGGTGCATGATACTTGGCAAAGTTTCTAAATGCATTACTATCAGAAAGCGACTGGTGAGGCACTAAGTGATAGGGTATTGGCTTCAGTAAAACAGGCAACAGATAATCCCTGAAATAAAATTCTAAGGCTAGAAGCACCTGGAGAATACTGAGTCTTCCACTATTGTAAATACTCTTCTGTGCTGGGCAGTTATCAGTACAGTTTTAATAAAACTAACCTCTCTAATTTTTTTCTAACTTTATTATGATTTAGGTGAAGGTCTACAGAGCAGACCATCAGTTTTACAGTCAGCAATTTATGCACATTTGGTTTCAACTCATCATAATATCTCTACTCTTATGTAAGATACCGAACAGATTATATTTACAATTTCTTGTGTCATTTAAAAATCAGATGATTGGTTTTAGTCATCCGAATGCAATGCCGGTCAAGTGGTCGGCGTGGCAACCTCGCAGAATGAATGCTGAAGTAATGGGAGCTGCTGACACTATGTCAGGACCTAGGTCAACCAAGGAATGAGACAGGAAAGAGTGTCAAGTATGAGACTGCCAAACATTGATGAGCTAGAGCACTCTCTCAGTGTCTGAAATACGAAGGAGAAGCTGAGTCTTTGACTTCCTGTTCTACAGGAAAGCAATGTTGGTCAGGCAGAGCTCCTGAGCCGAACAGATTGCCGATCTTAGAGGGTTGGGGAGAGCATGGGGGCTTCATGACTTTTAGAGGCTTGTGGGTTGACACCATCAGCTTAAGAGCAGGGGGGCTGCCAACTGATTGACCCCAGAGGCATGTTTACCGATTCAAGTCCATTCCTAGTTGTCTGGCTTTCAGAAGTGAGGGAATGTCACTGAGTGACGAAAAGTATCCAAAACCTATTAAAGATATGTGCACAATGTGTGTCCCCTCCAAAATGACCAGATATGCAAAGCTGCAGGAAAACCGCCCATAATGAAAAGTCAATTAAAACTGACCTAGAATTAGCAAAGGTGTTCGAATTAGCAGACAAGGATATTAAAACATAACTATGTATGTTCAAGGAATATTACACCAGTGGATAGTATTATGAAAATGCAACAATATTCCATTCTGAGAATATGGGTAGTACCATGAGCTGCCGGGGAACAAACAAGTCTGCCTCGGGGCACATCCAAAGTTCTCCTCAGAAGTAAACGTGGCAAGTCGGCCGTCCCTTGGCCATGTTATCAGAGAGAGAAGTTCCCGGAGAAGGACACCCTGCTTGGCAGCCTCAGGGATGTGGATGGCCCCAGCGGCTGCCACAGTGGACTCAAGCGGACTGGTGGCAAGGGTGCTGTGGGCCAGGCAGTGTCTCCTGTGGCTGTGCCCAGGGTTGCTGTGGTCAGAACCCCTCAGAGGTACCTACCTCTCAGTACAGGAGGAAGCTGTTGGTTTCCTTTAGCAACAAAGTGCTACCTGTGGTGACATCTTGTGTCAGTCACCGTTCTGAGGGAAGGAGGCCGCCGTTCCTGCCTCGGGCACTAAGGCACCGCCATGGCGCTCGCTTCTCGGTGGGCTGGGTTGTCAACATGCCCAGAGCATGGCCGCCCTTTCCGTGTTGGCCAAAAGAGCTGGATCAGAATCTAGGAAGAACCAACGTGGACTCTGCTGGACTTTGCCCCAGGTCATCGGGCAGCCCCACTCCCCAGGGGTCCTGAGGTCATAGATGTGACTCCAGTAATTTCTTAGATCATTTCTGAGCCTAGTGTTTGTGTTCAGCTGTAATTTGATCACATCTAGGTGATGTCATGCATTTTATCTCAAGATAGATCTTACCTTTCAAATCAGTTAAGTGTTACAAAATACGAAAGCGTATTTTTGCTGATGCTGTGAGGTACCGTTGAGTCCGTTCCGACTCGTGGTGACCCGTACAACAGGACAACAAGACACCCGGTTCTGTGCTGCTCTCACGGTGACTCTGAGGTTGGAGTCCACAGTAACAGTCGGGGCGCCAATCCGCTTGTGGGGCGCTTCCTCCTCTGCTGCCCTCCCTTTCTGGGACTGGTCTCTCTCAATATTTACATGTCTCCAGCACACTCCGAAGGAGTAGAAAATTCTGGCTGTACTTCTCCAAGGCTCCTTCATTCTAGCTTAGAGGGAACCACTGCGGCCCTTTTCAGTCAAAACAATTCCTAGTCCCTGTGTCTCCTTGAGTCACAACCATAAAAACCCAAACTAAATCAGCATGATGGGCTCACTAATCCAAAGCTGTGGTTGGATGAAAGTGACCGTGTGACGTCCTCAGGAACTTCTCTTGGCGATCATTTCCTTTGAGTTTCCCAAACAGCTACCGTATGTACTGGTATATAAGCCAGGTTTTCAGCACATTTTTCATGCAGTTTTGTGATAAAACTAGGTGCCTCGGCTGATATTCGGGTCAGCTTATACTCGAGTATACATGGTACCTTCCTTGTGAAGGCCAGGCAGAGGCTGGCAGCCCCATCTTCTCCTTCTAAGGTTTGCCAACCCCAGAAGCTTTTCTTTTTCTCATAGTTGTAACAAAAAATTCAGCATCAAGTCTCACTGATAACGTGCCCATTCTCCACCAAACACTATGATTAATTTTCCCCCCCAATGGAGTATGCCCTGATGGGCTAGATCTGGGTCATATATCTGTTTGGCCCGGGTCTGAGCTGGGCAGCCCCCATTTGGACTAAGCTGAAGCAGGACCGGGCCCTGCACATGCTGCCCTGCACATCCCAAAGGTCAGCAGCAGATGGCACCAGATAACTGTCAGGTAAGATAGCCAGTGAAACCAGATGTTCGGATTCAAAGAAAGCCACTTTCCAGACCCCATATGCTAATTGTCACAATTGCCACACTTCCTCACCACCCCTTTAAAAACCCTTGCCCCCAGCTGCTGAGCACGACTTCCCTGACCTGTTGGCCTAAGTCACGTAACCTTGTCCGAGAGCTCCCCGTCCCCCAATAAAGCTATTTCTGTTTCTGCTCTCCCTTGTCCTGTCAGTTATGTCTGTCTTCCTCCCTGTTCCTCAGTTCCTCTTTACATTTGGTGCCAAAATCTGGGAGAGGTAAGGACATGGGCTCTGTGCTGTCCCAGTCCTGCTTCAGCTGGGACACAGCCCACCCCTCCTCTCCTCTCAAACTTCCGGAACCTGTTTGAATGTGCAACTTCTGGTCAGTATATCTCTGTATGTTTGTTCTGTCTCATTTGTCACTCTGGACACCGAAGACCAACAAACTCATACAGGAACGTAAGGTCCGCGGGAAGCTAACTAGCTGAAAGCCCTGAAAAGCAAGTATGCTAGGAAGCTGAGCGTGGCTCTGCTGCAGGGGTTTATTCTGCAACCCTAGTACCAAGAGAAGCTGGAAATAACTGCCTTTCCCAGAAAGGGGTGCGACAATAAGGCCGATTTCTTGTGTCCATCTTTTCTGTGTGTCTACCTTCTCTCATGTGGCCTCCAGTCTTTTGTCTCTGTGTTTACCTCTTGGGATTCTTACTGATAACAGGACTCCTAGCACTAGGCCGAGCAGTCACTGCACCTTCTGCCTGGACTGGAACGCAGAAGGTGAGTCTGAGCCTTTTCTACCTGTTTGTGTGTTTTGCATCTGCAGCCCCGCAGTGCTCTCTCTAACATTTTCTGCTTCCCCTTCCTCACACCCTGAACAAAGGCCTGATCAACCTCCATTTTACCGGCCATAAAGCCAGGCTCCTTTCCCCCTCCTCGGCTTCCATTGTGTGTCTCTCTGATCTGAGGTCCCTGTCTGTTGGTTAAAGCTGCAGGCCTGTGCCAGGGAACCTTCCTGTTCTGGAGAGTCCAGGACTCTCCCACTGGGCCCCTAACTCTGACCAGGGCACCTCTCAGGGTTACTGGGCCACCTCCTGACTGACGGGTGTGAATGGGGACCAGGGGATGCCTTTCTCCTCTGTCTGTACCCCCTGCAGTTTGAGACACAATGGGAAGTTTTCTGTCCCAAACCCCTAAGGATAGTCCTTTGGGGTGCCTACTGCCAACCTTACTGAATTGGGTTTGGCTACTGATCTCCGCCCTAAATGCCTGTTTTTTTTCTGTAACCAAGTTTGGCCTCGATACCAATTGGACAATGACTCGCGCTAGCCAGAAAATAGCACTTTCAATTTTAATGTTCCCCGCAACCTCAAAAATTTTTGTCAACAATTTCACAAATAATCAGGAGTCCCTTATGTCCAGGTCTTTTTCTTTCTTCGCTCCTGCCCCTCTCTACTAACTGTCAACCCACTCAACTTCTCTTAGCCAAGCACTCTCTTCATCAGGCCCCTGACAGTACTCCCCTTCCGTCTTTCTCCAAACCCTGACTCCTCATCTGCGCCCCCAGTAAGGCTTCCTCCATATTCTGGGTACCCCTCATCATCACCTCCTCCGCTACCTCCTCAACTCCCAAAGGCTGAGGCACTGTGCCTCTAACACCCGCCCCCTCCCCGAGCCAGACCCCTCAAACTCCCTGGAGTCTCTCTCTCTCTCCCCTTCCCGGCTCCCTCCCTCCTCAGCCCCCTTAGCCAAAACACCCCTAAGCCTCTGACAGACCTCTCCCAGATAGGGAACCAGAGCACAAATCCATGGTCGCCACTCTGAGACTGACAGGAGAGAGGGGTCAGAAACAACTTTAATCGTCTGCCTCACTTTTGATTTCAATGTCCTCTAAATCAACAATTTCTGGCAGTAAACTCACAAATAGTCTGAGATTCTGTAAGTCTAGGCCGCCTTTCCTCTTGAGCTCCCGTCCCTTTCTCTGTATTTCCTGCTCCCCTTCCCAAATCCTCTTAACTAAAGAAAATTCCTCCTCGCCTCCTGCTTCTGCACCCTCCTCTGGTGTCTACCTTTTCAGACCTTCTACTCACCCCCTCCCCCTATTCTGGCCACCCGGAGCCCCCACATCCTCTTCTCCCGATTGACCTGCCTTGCTGGAGGAACCCAAGTCTGTCTGTTAGCAAG